TGCGCGGGATATATATCCCACGCGTTGTCGTCAATGTGTTGATCCACTGATCATATCAGCGCAAAAGGCGAGATCTGCCGCGGCAAACCTTTCCTAGCCTCACGGGATGGGTAGGATAACTCGGATAGTCCAAAGTCCCAGAACGACCACACAGCATTATATGACCACTTGTGGTTTTTTATTGGGCTGCCATGTCGGACCGTGCGGGATATATATCCCCCGCACCCATTACACTCATTTTTTTCGCGCACGCCTGATTCTTTTAGAAGTTTCTTGTATTCATTCCATGGAAGAGACCTTGACGTAGCTACAAACATAGTGGCCCATAGAATGGTCACGTATGCTTTAATTTAGAGGAGGATTTCTGAACCATACGAAATCTTCAGTTCAATAAATTTTTCGTTTACTTTTTCTTTTTATGAATGTGAAGATTTAAATAGTAGAAGTAGATACGGAACCTTAGGATGACAATATGTGTGTTTTGATTGGAAATAATCAACGTAAAATTGCTTTGAGGTCCATTGCAGCTAGTTCTGAATTTCGCTTTTTCATTGTTATTCCATGTCTTTCGATCGAAATTCCACTACTGTACCCCTGGGTAGGTTGTGCTCATTACAATTTACTGATCTGGTTTTGTATTGATCATTATTTATGTATTTATCACTCAAAATCTGCTTGAACGACCTGAGGCGAGCGCGCCCGCAAAATCGCCGCGGTCCCACGTGGCCAAAAAAGCCAAAACTCGCATTGTCGTCAATGTGTTAAACACCAGAACCAAACACTGCATTTCTAGGATATATACACAAGAAGTAGCGTTTTTTAGAATGAGCGTGCAAGGAGTACCATCGGATTGGTCTATTTCTAACTAAACCACGGGCGCCATCAACTGAAGGGAAGGTGGGTAGGTGGGGGAAGGTATTTCAGGGTGACCTTGAATCAGTCGCCGGCTAATGAGGCTACTGCGGCAAAGAAGGTTCTGGCTGGTGGAATAGTAAGAATACATGTAAAATTGAAGGAATTTTCATACTGGACACTGTCATGAGCGAAGTCTTTGAGATTGACTTAAAGGCCATCATATCTCACATCATATCACATCATATCTCAGAACGTAGTGGGTACGGGTGTCACCTCTAGTGCATTGATGTGCTGAAGAGAAAGGGCAAAGCATTTGGCGCTGCCCAGTCACCTTTGATATGCGCCTCGTATTCTGATTACAGCAGAATAGTAGTACCTTTCAAAGCGATTTGCCTTAAATAAGGACAGCATGAGGGGGGGGGGGAGTGCAGTTGATATTTACTCCAATACCATCCCACTTACATACTAGTATGTAACTGGTTAATCGGTCCTGATAGATGAGGGGTTTGTATGGGCTGAACGAGTGAGACCCGAGGTGAACCGTGCTTGATAATCGGCACCACCGTCACCACGCCACTTCTTTCAACTCATCTAGGCACCACGCAATATAATGATATCATTGATAAATTTGCCATATTATCGTGATTCCTAAGCTCTGAAGCTTTTCCTTTTCAAGGCTACATAGAAGCTTCGTGTAGGTAGCAACGCAGCTCTTTTTACGTTTGAGGCTATCTGAAGGGGCAATGTAGGCAGATCTCTAGACGCAAGTTGTTCCACAGATAGCAGGCAAAAGGGTGAAATTAAGCATGTCGGAATTTTTCTATTGGGCATGGGCCGCCCACGACATCCTTCTACGCTTTTGGAATAGTAATAAAAATAGAGTAGTAGAGGTTATAAATGGCGGGAGCATTACATTGTCAAATGACCGATACTTAAGCTACCCAACCAGCACAGAAAGCTCTGTTGTTTTGGGAGGGGCTCGATCCAGAACTTCATCTGGGTCATGCTTGGAGCAGGGCACTAGTTGCCAACAGGGTCAACCGTGCGCAGCGCCGGTTCCGAAATTTTTGCGAACCCCCTCCCCTTCTAAGAATATCCGTACGATCCCCTGTATTAGCTATTTATATCCTTCTACATATTCGAACAAACATGACAACGAATAGTCCCGTTGTTCCGTTTTTTCCTCTATGACCTCTTCAGGCTATTCTCCTGAATGTGAGATGCCAAGTTTGAAACGCTCATAAGTTTTTGTTATGCAAAATTGGTATAATGAGAAGTTGTAAAGCATTGACATCTACAAGATCAGTGGTGTGAAGCATATTCTACATTCTCTTGGAAAGCTTTGAGATGGAAAGCTTTCTTCTGCCAGAATTCACCTTTAGGACTCTAAAAATCGCCTGTGGAGAGAAGTCGTAGTGGTGGTTAAAACTCTGTCCTCCCTGATCACTTTGCCATGCCTTTATATCCTTGTATATTTTGTGACTGGTACTTGAGTTACAACCCCATCCCGCTTCCGTAGGCCAAATACGACCCTACCGTTGATTTGTCCGCAATGGGCGGTTGACCTGAATCTCTTAAGATTTTAAGTTTTCTAAGTCACTTACACATGCACATGCTTTGGGATCGGATTAACAGGAAAGTCTTGAGCGTAAAACGTCTTCCGGAGGACTTTTCGGCTATGGCCACATTGTAACTGCCAGGAAGCGTAGGTCAAAGGAGGATGTTAGAAAGGGGAAGTGAAACACCTTGCATCGATTCGTCAATGGTGTAGCGTTTGCGGTTCGCGTGCTAATCCTCTTATTGCCACATGACGTGATCATCCGGACTTCCAAGTGAGTTCGAACTCACTTCAACTTCTGACGGAGAATCTTCGGAGGGGTTCCAGAGGTCCTCTACGCATGTTTGAGGGAACTTCATATGGAAGCCTTCACCAGGTTATCACGAGCTCATGGTCAAATGGAGTAGCAGCTAAGGCCACCCTACTACCGTTCCAGATTTCATTTCCTCGCATTGTGAAAGTGCAGTGCAAGGAAATAGGGAATAAAATGTCGAGAAGGAAGTGCAGGACGAAGACTGAATATCAATTTCATGGTCAAATCACCCATCTGTCCGATAATGAACTCGCAGAAGATTCTGGGAAAGTGATTGTAAATGTGTCAGAGTAATAATGAGCGCTAGACTACACGTTGCGTCAGCACACCACTTTAGGATTGCTAAATGCTCTGCGAAACTCTACAGGGTGGGCAAAAATTACGGTAACAAGAGCGCTAACCAAACATCTCGATTTCCTTCGAACCTAATAAATGCACCTGGTTGAAGAGACCCCGGAGAGAAATCACTAGGACACAACAGCAAGGTAGACCGCTTGTGCACAAAGCAAATATTGTGCAACATTGGTTTTGCAGAATTTTCCGAATTCATGCCATTGAACGAGGGGCCACCTTATTTTCCCGTGTTAAAGCAAGTGGGTTATTTTCCGTGGAGTCTACTGAAGACGATGGGCTACTACGAGTATCACTAAAGCATCGACGAATTAAAGAAGATCCTAGGGTAAGCTCGATGTCACCTACCTACACAACAGGCCATATGCGTTCCCGAGATGACTTCATTCAGGTATAAACGCAAACAGCGGCCAGTCCAAGAAGTGATGTTGTATTCTGTCTGGTGACCTTCCTATGAATACATTGTTGGGGTCCACGTGTGTCTTGCTGGCCGAATTGCTCTTTCCATGAACACTTTATCCTTGTTACCGTAATTTTTGCCCACCCTGTATAAATGGAAGTAGAATGCGGCCCTCCGGCTTCC